ACAGAATATATAAATAATATTAGTGTCATTATTACATTTTAACAGGGGACATTAAAACAAGTGATTCTAATCTAGAGAAAAAACAGATCACTAATGATATGCCACATCCAAAGTCTTGACACGGGATAAGGTGTAGATATTTATGTGTGCATTGTATATATTTCTCTACAGGTGTTCTCTAACTTATATTTTAAGTGCCTGTAAACTTTCTTTTGTATGGGTCATATTGACCAAATATACACCCAGTTTCTTCCACTTTTGAAGAACATGTTTTGTGAGGTACACTGATAAAATATTATTAAGAATGTCCTTCTTAACTGACGCAAAAACATACATCTAACAGTTTCTACAAGAAAATCAAATGAGGCATTGTATAAAAAGAAACTCTTAGAATATTTTACTGTATGTCTGTTAATAATCCTGTTAGTAAATGAAATCAGTAAGAATTTCCTTTCTACTCAGCTGCAGTTCTTGCATTCTAAAACACATTTTGAAAAGATTTACTTTAATGACAAAATCATTCTCTCTGTGTATTTCCCATAGAACACATTAAGAAGCAGACAAATATTTCACATAGTCTACATTTGTACAATGGATTGTGCAGTATATCTCTGCTTCTAAACAAAAAGTGTTTTTGCATATTTTATAATCACTCAAAATTAAACTCAATAAGTTAAAAAAGAAAATATTTCATCATCTTTATTTAACTTTATCTAGCTTTGCTTTAACAATTTAGTTACTACATAAAATTATTGTATTCTTATTATTTTAAATTAATATCTTTTTACAACATTGTGAAACATCGGGCCTACACTGTAGATACTGAATACTGTAAGTTATAAAACAGCAAAATACAAAGTATACAGTATTCTTCACTTTTGTAAAGCTCAGAATGTTAAAATAAACTTAAATATACTGTAATTATTCACACTTTCTATGAAAATTTTTATTTTTGTGTTGCATATTGGTAACAAAATTCTACAAACTGAGAAGTGTGCCAACCAGAGACTAAAATAAAAGGGAAGACTTCTATAGTAGACCTAGTAGTTTGAAAGGCTAGGATTACAGTAATTATAAAACACATGAGACTACTGTGTTATTATGATCGGGTGTAATAGTAAGTGTTTCAGTAGTGCATATACACAGGAATGAAGCATCTAAAAATATATTTAAAATATCTAAATTTGTAGCAATTGAAGTCTTGTGAACAGCATTTAAAAATAACATTTATATTTCTGGATAGTGTATATTGTATCTTCTGTTATATATATATATTTAAAAAGGATAATGAAAGAAATATTATAAGAAATATGACAGGACATTTATCCTTTGTTGCTGATTTGATTGCCTTATTTAATTCAAGGATGTCATCCAACAATTTTCTAAAAAGATCCTATGAAAACTGTTCAATTCAGTTCATCTGTCATATGCACAAGTGCAATGAAATTCTTATTTGTTTTGCTGATAATGTAAAGCACAGCTTTTAAATGTACAATATTATCATAGCCTTTGCTTTATCCATAGCAATGGCTTGAATTGAAATTAAGGACAAATAATAGAAAAACATAAAAGATACAAATAACAACCACACATAGACACCACCACACAACAGGTACAGGTACATGGACAAGTGCAAATATTACAGTATATCTGCCAAGTGACACACAATGCATCAGTAATGTGCCTTTAAGTCATATACAAATTTTACATTACACGACACCTTTCAAGCCTTTAACAAGCACTTATAAACAAGAAATAGTTTATATAGCTTAAGGTTAAAAATATCTGAAATTACCAGGTTTTTTTTAATTGATTTAGAATTCCTACCAGGTTGTAAAAGCTGATGCAGGTAGTAATTTGGAGGAAAATGATCAACACTACACCAAGATGTTCTAAAAGACTTTCACTATGCAGGGTGATGAGAGATACAAAATCACAGGCATTGCACAGCCTAGATGCTGACTTAACAGTTTCCTTGAGCTGATATTTATCATTTTGTAATGTAATATCAAACCTTGGAACTTAGGCATACTCTCAATAATTGCTTGATAAAACTGAGTCATAATATCCTTCAGCATACCAATATGTTTTAGCTGGCTGATAAAGGTGGTGTTCTTTTTTCTGTGAAATATTAATATCCCTATATCATTCATAAGAGCATATGATATGAAGACATACTATCAAAACATTAACAGCCTCCTGTCCTTAAAATCCTTTGTATCTTACAAAAAAAAAATGGCCTTGTTCTAAAATGAAGGTGCTTGTGTAAATAAATAAAATCTTTAAAGATGTGTTGAAGAACTAAATATTGTCTAAAAATAAGAATAACATTTTTGGTAAATTTTATTTTAAAATATTGTGCTTTTTTAATTAGGCATAAATAAACCTGACTCTTCAAAGTTTCTTCAGCTTTTATATGTAGTGTCTTCTTTACAGGGCTAATTCACTGACTGACCATGCAATGCCTAGGAGGCATAATGCCATGTTCTTGTGCAGGTTAGTCAGTTAACTGGCTCCAGGCAGAAACCATGAGCAGAAGTAATAGTTAAATAGGCCTGGCCAATAATTGCACACAGTTAAAAAAGACAATAATAATGCAGAAAATAACACCTAGAAATTATTAGAACTACATGC